GTTTTAAAATTAAAACTGATCTTTGATTGAGAAATAAATTGCTCTGGGTATAATCATGCGCACGAATTTTCATTAAAATCAGATTCTTTTTTTCTCTCTGGAAATAGATGAATTTCCATGTAGAAGACTTTCTACGCGACTTATATTATTATCTAATGGCTTTATTTCTTCTCTAAAATAAAAATTTTATTTTCCAGGCTTATTAATTTAAATCTCGCGTCATCATTCATTTATGGAGAATCGTCTGTTGCCGTTGTTCGATTCCCCGTGTAATTGAATAAGCCACCACTGTAGATATAATATACGCGGTCGAAGCCCAGCACGATAACTCGTTTTATACATTGGCCAACGCTAATTGCAGCGTGTTGCGGCTTAATTATCGAATATGGGACCAGACCGCGGGCTTTCCTCTCCCCTATCCCTGCCCAATATCTTCCAAATTACCCCTTTTATCGACCAAAAAGTATATCGCAATAATTAATGCAACTTCTCCCCCGCTGCAACGATGGAATACTTTCAATCCCAGCATTCGACGGTAATTGCAAATAAATTGCACAGTTGTGAGAAATATCACAACGAATTTTCTATTGTATACGTAATTTATTATATTCTTCCCTTTTTTTTGTGATTTATTCAAATCAATAAGAGAAGAAGTTGGTAGAGTAATAATCAGCCTACAGTTGAAATAATGACATCCTGATTAATATTAATATTAATAATTAATAGAGATTCGTCAAGTTTCACGAAGGATAAAAATGAATATTTCTTTTAGTCAAGAATAGTGTTCTTGGTTCGGTTCTCGGTTAATGATATTCTTCGGGGGTTGGTTACCCTTTAAGAGTAACGCACGAATTTGTGCAGGAACAGCGCCAATCAAACGAGGCAGAATCGAGGCGGGTTATTCGCCTCGTCTAGAATGTCGTTTAGAATTTACTCGCGAAACGTTGAAGGGGTGTGAGCGTTCGTAAATAAGAAGAAGATTTATGGAGTTGAAGGCGAGGAGGATAAATGAGAAGAGGGTAGAATAGCAAAAAACTAGCCGAGGGTAGCAAGAATTAAAAAAAAGAAATATTGAAAAGTATCCGTGGAAAGCTATTGGGGTGTGGAAGATCGAGAGAAAGAGGGATTCGAAGATAATTATTCAATGAAAAATCCAGGCGACTATTGTTCAGATTATAAAATATTAAACAAGACTGGATGTTATTACAATGAATTCTTATTCTTAGTAAAACTTTTCTTCGCTTCTTATTCTTATTCTTTAAAAAATAAATTACTCTTTTACTTTTACGCATCGATCCAAGCTAAACTTTTCATTTCGATAATTCAACAAAAAAATATCCAATCTTGTTTAGAAGAAAGGGTAAAGGATAAACCAAAAAAAAAATAAAACTTAAATTTTTTCTTAAAATCATTTATTACAAACAATAATAATACAAATAACAAACATACAATAAATATTTTTTAAATCATAAGTAACACGAATCTTCCAATTTTGTCTTCTTGAAGATCGTA